GAGCATTTAACTTACCTAATGTATAAAATATAGACAGTAGATATATATAAAATACTACAATAAAATTTCTGGGTTTCTCCCAGAAAACGCTACGTCCAGATGAACAGAATCAACTTTTGGAGATTTATTTTCCTGGATGATTGAGAATGCATCAAGATGTGCTTGCATTCATTAATCAGTGACACTGAGTAGGTTGCACCTCATTTATGCACCCATTATACTGTAAATCGCTGCCACTTTTTAAAACTCTTTTAGCTAATATGTGAACAAACAACTGCTTAATTCCGCCTCTGGCAAAAGTAGAGTAACTAAAGTTATTTGAGCTGCATTTCTGGTCACGTAAAAAACGTTACTTCCGTGTTATGATTTCTACTTTCAAATCGGGTTTAGTCTCAGATGATTCATCGGAATACACTGAAGAGAGTCTTCAGCCGGTGAGGTTGTTTTTGTTAAAAACAGCTGCCTAGTGCTGCTAAAAACTAGCGTGAGGGTGGTGAGCCTTCTTTATTTGAAGGCCGTGCAAAAAAAAAATAGAAAAGACTTATAGATGTGATAAAAAAAAATGAAGTGATCTGTAGCTTTTCAAATGATGATTGATGTTTATATGAGAAATCTGAACTAATGGACCTTAAATGAAAATTGAGTACTCTGTGTGAGTCATGCATCAGTGTGCACTTGATGTTTTGTGAACATCCATCTCTACTCTAAGTGGGACACACACCCTAACCACATTCTCGCACATCAAACTGTGCTTTCCTATGCAATGCTACCGTACACTATGAACTGTGACCTTGATTTTAATGCTTTAAGCACCGATATTTAACAGTTACCTTGGAGATGTTGCTGGATCGACTCCCTGAGCGCCCAGGTGCCTTCCTCCCCTGCAGGGGAGATGGAGAGACAGAAAATCATTAGAGCCCAATAAACACGCTGAAGGATGTGATGCTTTAATAGTGCGCAGCAGCTGTGGAGCCTGAGGCTTTTAAACCAATGATTTCTTTGGCACACAACACCAGACAGAACCATAAAATCATATTGGAACAATATTTTACAGCCCTTGTCTCGACTTAAGCTAATGGCTGAGTCACCCGAACATGTTTTAGTACAATCTGCTGCAGAGCTGCTGCCGCTTTTTTTTTCTGTGTATGATAATGATAAATAAAGTCTTTTAAACTACTCAAATATGCCCATGTCAAGTTCAGGAAGGTGAATATTAATGCACAGAAAAGCAGCAAAAGGTTTTTTTTTTCATTTATATTTGTTGATTTCTTTTCTTTTTTTTTTTGAGAAATGAATGCTGTATAATAGCTTTAGCAATAACTTCTAAATCACCTGGCGGCTTCACCTTCAAACTGCAATCATTATAATTTAAATCAAACGATTACACACATCAGGCATGCTGTTAACGTTCAAACTAAAGTTTAAATCTTCCCCGTGCCCCCACCCACCCAACACCAAGACTTCCAAAAATAGGCGAGGTGAGAAATGTGTCTGCAATTTTTGTAGAAAAGACACTAAAGTTTAAATCTGCAATAAAAACAAAACTCCAATAATCAAACTAAGCTGCTTTTAACACCAGCAGGTATTCAGCGCTGATCAGTCCTACTGTGTTTACCGATGAAAATCCAGCATCAAGAGTCGTGCACAGCCTCATGTCCTTGCTGCTTCATTGTGACCTGAGCTAAAGCCAGCCAATCCCATTACCTGGTTGTCCCGCTAAGAGCACAAGATGCAATGTGTCTCTATTTAAAGGCAACTTAAGGCACTTTTTCTAGAATCTGTCCTGAGCGCTGATTGTCTGAACTCACCTATTAGACCTTGGGCTTCGCCAGCAGACATCTGTGGCCTGCAGCAGCTTTACTTACCAATGACATGGTGGCGAGTGGGAGCTACCAAGTGACGACCAGCTGGTAAACCACCAAGAAGGAAAATATCTTCTCCATAATAATTTGGTGCCAAATTATTTTCCAGACACTTTGAAAATAATTTGGCCTGATCCCAAAATTCTTACCATCATATCATTGAAACCTAGCTTCTAGTTTACATATGAAACCACATCAACAACATGGCTCAATTCTAATAAAATCAGCTGGTTGTGAGTTGGGAAAGCTACAGATTGCTGAATAAGTAATGCAGATGAACCGAAGCAGTCACAGCGAGCAATTATTTTTCTGGTTCGCTTTCATCCTCAGCCACATGGACCTTTGCACCTGCATTATGGGATTAAATCTGGCTTTGTTGCAGATATTTGTTGGATACAGTTTTAAGTATCATACATGCAATGAGCTCAAGCTAATAACCTACCAACTGTCTGCTACTGCAGTGGGTGGGCAGTGGAGAATGAACTGGCAGGAGTTAAAAGGACAATGGAAATCGTGGATAAAGCTGGCTGTATTTTTCTTTCTGTCAATAAATCCTAAAACCAAAGATGTAACTGCAACTTTTCCCAAAACCAGTCATATTGTCTACACTGAGGTGTTAATTAAAATCAGAGAAGATGCTTTCATTCCTCAAACGTCTCTGTCCAGGGCTTGCATCAGTTAATGCAGCTAAATATTAAAGTCTCCCTGAATTAAAATTGTGGCAATATTCATGATTTTCAGATTAGGACTGCATTCAGAGGGAATTAAAACCCACTTCTGTCTGAATGTGTGGCCCCGCTTTGGGATATTCGTTTTGGGAAAAAATTATAAAAGTATATGAAGTCGGTTGTGTTGCTGGGATTTCCAAGAGTAATAACTATTAAAATATTTCACAACCCTGATGGCCTTGACACTAATAAACAAAGAAAGGTTTCAAAGAAACAAAAACAAAAATACAGCAGCTGACAGCACATATATGTAAAGATAGTACACCATAAACTCCACCATCAATGTCTGCAAGTAGGGTATCTATAACACCTGTCAGTATGAAAGTGGACACTTTAAAGGGCTGAGATTTGTTAAGTTTTATGTATCTTACAGGATGTTTGTGGAGTTCAAAGTTGGAATGTTAAATGTGGGTGGTTTTTCCATAGATCTATTTTTTTAAATACTTGACATAAAATAGGAAAACCTGAGCTTGCAAGTATCAGCCCACACACAGCCACAGTTGTAGGTACACTCTGTGAAAATCACTGAAATAAATAAGAGACACTGACAAGCAGAGAACTGCATCATCTAAGCTGATCAAGGGATTTTCTGATGGCCACTTTTAAATCAGTGCAGCCCTGCTTGGAGTCAAAGCAAACACTCCTCTGCCTTTTAGAGGAGATGGACACGTGTTCACATGTATGTGACCAGTTATAATTACTCACATCATCTTTCCAAAGTTTCATAATAAAAAGAGTATTTCTAAGAAGATGCAACTACTGATGCCTGGTAGTCGTGTAATTCCTTCCAGTCAGGTTGGTTTTTGTGTTGTGGTAAACCTCTAATGCGTCAAAAAAACGAACAAAAACCCCCCCAGAAGTGGGTGATCAAAGACTACAGCTATGAAAGGAAATAATGAGATCTTGATTTTGTTTGGAATTTTTTCCATTGACATTAATGCTTACCACCAAAACACAACCAACATTAGCTACACAACCAGTGGGCTAAAGCAAACGTTCTCCAACAAAACTGATTTATTTTACCAAACTAGAATATCTTTTGGAAAAGATGTGCATGGACATGTATGTGCTGTTTTATTATTTTAAAAAAGTAATAGATGGGGGATTAATACCAATTTCCTCCTTGCATTCTGTTGCTCTAAATAGTGTTTCACATTGCTTATAACAACAAAAAAGAAATCAACAGGAAACAGACTTGAGCCTGCCAGGCTAACTGTTTCCTCCTGCTTCTAGCCTTTGTGCTATGCTAGGCTAAACACATCTGGGACCAACCTTAACTCATAGATAAAGTTCAGTGTTCCAAAACACGTCATGTGTGAGTTGCTACAACGTATCGATACCCTGCTACTGAGTCTTTAACCCTTCTAAGGCCAACAAAGCCCAAACAATTCAAGCAAGCATGACACATGCTTTGATGGAGCGTACGTACAAATAAAGAAGAAGCACCTCTCAGGTAAGAAAAGAAGCTAAAAACAAGGGAGGCAGCACAAGTTTGTCCTACACCTAAAAATAAATACTGCACAGAACCAGTCAGATAAGTTAACCTGTCTTTTATAAAGCACATGTGCACAATATGCTTTACATGATAAAGGGGTGAGATGTGTCTAACTGCACAACGGCAGTCTAGCAGACAAAATCACACTTTGTGTATTTATAGACGTTTTCTAGGTTGCTCATTTTGTGAATATGTAAAACAGTTTCTGGCCTTTCTAAACGAAAGGACATTACATCAATTTGAAATACATCTATGTGACAACAAAGGTTAATCAAGAGAAGAGCAAAAAGAAGCTTTACCCTTTGCAGATGAGCATAAAGCACCATAATACCATAATAATGACTGCATTCATAGCACTGGTACAGTACTGACACTTCAATTCTTTGGCTGGCACATAACAGAGATTAAAAAAATACTATTCAAAGATAGAAGAGCAAATGCTATTCTACAATTCCTAATATCAGGGCCACACACTCACAAAAATACTTTGGTCATGAATTCCTAGAGAAAATACACAACATCTAATTTTTTAAGTGCATCAACTTTTAAATGCCACAGCAAAACAGGGCAATAAGAAACTGACCATCATAAGACTCCAGCAAAACACATAATTCCTCTAGATTTAGCTTCTATAAGCTATAACTGATAGCTCTCCAGTAATGAAGTGAAGTTTCAGAGGTAGCGTACTGCTGTCGCTCACCTGAACCTCGAATCCTCTGTTGGCACTCTAGCTCTGATGCACAGCAGAGACTCTGGCGAGTCTGCGTGTGGACATGTGCATGTTTCTTCAGAGGGGATTAAGTGATGTAGAGTTGACTGAGGGATGTATTTTGGTTCTGTAGTTTGGCATACGATCAAACACACCTACAGCCACATTTAGACAACCAACCGTGACACTGCACACTTTATGTGCAGCTGCAGCGGTGCATTTGACAAAATCCCAGCTTTAAACAACCTCAGAGCATTTGTGTCTTTATAACACAAAGTGTTCACTGAGCCACAGTGAAAGTTCAGGTGAAAACAACAGATACAATTCCATAAGAAACCCAGAGTCACAGACCAAACTGACCAACAACTGTCAGCAAATCCTGACTTTATTATCAAGTTCTGATTGTTCCAACAATATATATTTTTGTTTGTTTTTTGTTGAAACTTCAGCCAAATATCAACCATAAACAGATCGTCTTAAGATGCAAATCAAAATGGTAAAAAGGAACAGTGTTTCAGTGCTTTACGAGCACAAGCCACAGCATTTAAAAACATGGAAATCCAAATGTAACAACTATGCATCTCACCATCTGGAAAGTGTCAGATTAGCAACAGCATCGTTTTTCAGCATGGCCAAGATCCCCAAAAACACTGCCAATGCAGTGAAAACATACATGGATAGAAAAACAGACGATAAAACACCATCAGTCATGGATCAGAGCCATGACCTCAACGTTATTGAAGCAGCGTGATATCTTCTCAACAGAGAACAGAGCAAAAGGCAGCCAACATACAAAGAAGAGCTCTGAATGTCCTTCAAGAAGCCTGGAGAACTATTCCTGAAGACGACTTGAAAACTTACAAGAAATAGAGAGTTCAGGCTGTGCTGATGATCAAAAGTGGTTATACCAAATTCTGACGTACCAGCTTGCCAAAATTGTACAAACTCTGTTTTTACTTCATATACTGTATTTTCATTTATTCCATGCAGCACTGCAAATCCATCAGTTCTGACAAGATCTCCAACACCACCGGCTGAAATGCAGCCCAAAACCATACAGAGCCTCCACCTCCACATTACAAAAGGCCCTAGACTCTCCTGACCGCCTCCTTATGTAATGATAATTTGAACCAAAAATGTAACATTTGGATTCATCACTCCATGAGACCTGTTGCCCCTGATTTTCAGTGCAGTTGTTTTTCAATTTTACATACCTCAACCTTTTCTTCCCGTTTCCCTTCCTAAAGAATGACTTCTTGACAGCCACCCTTCCAACAGTAGATGGATCTGCTGAAGGTCCGGATGCATCTCTCAGGTTTTGTGTCAGGTATTTGCTGGATTTTTTTTCCATTTCTTCAGTACATGACTCTCAGATAGTGTTCATCTGCTGCAGATAGTTTTTAGGCCTGCCACTTCTTCTTCTGCTGTTTTCTTATCCATTTTCCTCAAACTTTTAAGGACACTCTGCACACCATGCCAAGAAGTTTTTGGCTAAGAGCTCACTAACAAGGAATCACACTGTTGGTGCAAAAATAATATTCTATCCCTGTGGTAAAAGTAGAATACATTTTTAAACAAGATCAGAACAGCTTACTGTACAAACACCAATGTTTAGATATTACAGGTATTGCAGGTGTTTCTGCAATAGAAGCAGGATAAGGTTCCTCTGGTGGAAGTGTCCCACCAATCCAGCCTTAAACCACTGGGGTAACCAAACAGTAATGGTACACATGATGTATCATGGTTGATTTATTCACATTAACTTTAAGTCCATTAACTGTATTTTCTTTACTGGATTGTTCTCAGCTGCAACTGAAAAAAAAAGGAAAATTGCAACAAAAAACCCCCCACAATGTAATGAAATAATGAACATTTCCAAAAGTCTGTATACCTTTGGGACTGCCCTACAACATTAAGAAGAAAACACAACACTGCACCAACCTGAGGAAGCTGGCACAGCTATTTCAGCAATTTCTCGCTTCATAAGCAGATTTGTAATGATTAGTGGGATATCAAAAACAAAGAAACTAGCCTGGGAAGACTTATTCAACAAATTATGCATGAGTATTATTTGCTAGATAATGTATGGGTATTATACTCCTGTTCTTTATCAGTACTGTCAGAGAAATACAGCACTATGCTATGCATCTGATTTTATCACCTGTGACCAGATGTGTAGCAGTTTTTGTACCACAGCATACCATGAAGTGAAGTGAGGTCAAGTTTAGGCCCATTCCTGACATTATGAAACTATTGCTCTGATGGTGGAAAACTTTAATCAACAACTGAAGAACTGCAGATATCAAGGAATATTTTAAGATGGAATGTTATTTTGGATAAGTTGATGCTATATTAAAATTACATACAGCCTAAATATCAAGATGACTAATTTGACCATTCAATTTGTTTAGCGAGCTCTCCTGCATGAAAAATGCTTACGTATATGAGCTATGCTTCAGCAGCTCCTACAGCTGTGTGTGTGCCATGATGTGTCACTGTGGGATGTTTTACTTGCTGTGAACTGATGTGATGTAATTTAATCCTTCAGTCTGTGATATGATAGCTATGATGTCAGGCTCTACCTCAAAGCTGAAAGCACCAAACCCCAAGTGAGGGATCAGTGATACGTCTATACTGTACATGTGTGTTGTTTAGTGAGTGAGCTGAAAAGCCTGGGAACTGAAACTGGAGGCTGATAAAAACACGCACAGAAGCGCGCACACACACACACACACACATACAATGTCCACAAGATTAATACTGAATCGATTTACATCAGCCTTCTGGCAACAGAAACAACTTTTTTGCAATCTTAAATCACCAACTTTATGCTACTTTTAAGCCTTAACCAAAAAAACAACAACAACAACAACATAATGGTCACACAAAGCCTTTACTCACCCTTAGTGAAATTTCGAGTTACGAGGTCAAAGACTCACCTCGGTCTTGTCTTTGGAGCGAAGAGCGCTCTTGCCATTGTTGGCTATGTCCCTGGACGGAACCACAGTTATCTGTTGTACTGGCATGCTGCTGTTTCCAGGCAACGCTCCGGAGTTACTCCCACAGCATTCCCAGTCCTGTCCTCCAATCTGCGTCCCTGCGTGGGATCTGCTCTCGCGTCCGCAAGCTCGTTCCTGAAATAGGAAGAAGCACTCCCGGATCGCACTTATTTATCAAGCCAATCCGGATCATCAAGAAGAGCGGAGATGAAACGGGATCAGGTCACCGTGGTAACAAGAAGATAGCAGGATGGTGGGGTGTGAGGTCGTCATGACAACTGGGAAACTACTCCACAGTGCCCACCACCACCTCCTCTTCCTCCCCTTTTTTCGCTTTCCTGCTGGGAGCGAGACAAGAGAGGAAGAGTTGAGATGGAGCTGAGCAGTAAACAAGGAGGCAGGGAAACTGTGTTGTTGTGACGCACGTGTGTGAGACTGTGTGAGAGTATGTCTGTGTTCTTGTGTGTCTTTGCAAAAGGGGTGGAGCCAGGATTTTGTCGCTGTATAACAAGCATAAGGTCCACAAGGATTAGGGCTTAGACTAACCTCAATCTCCTCCTCAGACCAGTGGCGCTGCTAATAAGCTTACACAACTTGTGCACATGGACAGCACTCACTCATACACACACCTCATTCCTTCAGTCATGTTAGCCAATTAAACGAACATTAATATCTGACTCGCTATGAAAGGAGAAATCTCCAGCCATATCAGTCTTCACTTCAAAGAGTGCGTTTGTGTGTGGGGGGGTTGTGTGTGTGTGGGTGGCAAGGATGTAATCCTATTTCACATGGTCTCGGGTCACGAGGATTATGATTGATATAACCGGAAAATGTGTGACTGAAAGTGATTACTGGAATGCAGGGGCATCTTCACAGACATGCTCAGGTAGTATTAGAGAAACTAGAGCCAGGAGTTAAACCAGGAGCAACTAAAGATGCTTTTTAAAAGTAGCTCAAACTACTTTGTGAGACAAAAAGTTACAAAATACATGTGACACATTTAAAAAATAAATAAAGCACCCCAATATTCACAGGTTACACATAAACTAGGGCTGTGACCAAAATCTCATATCCCGATATAAGAATTCTATCGTCCGATAACGATATAAATCACAAAAATGTA